AGATCCTGGTCACGAATCTGTTACAATCTGGAGACAATGGGTCGCAACACATCATGGGGTAGAAAGCATATCTCTTTTCTGGGGTGAACCTGCTCGAGCTTCGTCATGGAGTTTGGGATCCATGACGTACACACCGGATCCAATGCAGGTACCAAGGCCCAAGACGTCGATCATGAAGTTACTGGATTGGGTAAACCGGGTCAAGCCTCTCCCCAGGCAGGCTAAATGCAGAACAGTGGTAAATTACAACGCGAAAGATATGTCTTTGTCAGCCTCAGGGTTCTTCAGCTCCCCAACACAAGACATGTTGCGGCAGAATTGTTGGCTTGCTTCTACAGAGCTGCTCATACGTCACACAAGAAATCCAACAAGATCGCGCTGACGAAATAGCGATGGTAGTTTGCTGATTGGCATGGCTAGGCCTCACCACCAATATCGATGTTTCTCTCAACAAGACCTCTGGTGCCCGCAAGTGGTGTGGAGTCGTTATCGCCAGCGCCAACAGCCCCTCCGCTCCACCGGATCGATTGGCTACGAGCGGATCTCAGCCCTTTTCGCCTTTTGCCATCGTCACACACAAGCGAAGATTTTCTAGAAGCCCCAGAGAATATTACATCGTTTGCGTCTAGAGCTATTTGGCATCGCCGCACAACAAGCTTTTTTATACTTCCGGTGGCCATTAGAGACGAGTCTTCCGTATTCGGCACTCGCGAGGCTGGCGACGCGTTGACGCGCATGCTTGCAGGGTGTTGAATGTATCGATTGAGCTGATTCATGCGTCATTGTGTTCGCATTGGGCATGGAGTATGCACAAATCACACAATCGTATCCATTTCCTCATGAACAGCGTCACTCATGCGCAGCTGTCGACGCTGCAGCACATTCATGTCGGTAAATCCGACGGACGCTGACTTGCGAACGCATGCATGCATGAACCGAGTTTCACGTGCCAAACCTGCGCGGGCGCGCATGTGTGCGTGCTTGCCGAGCTCCACCGACACGCAAGCAACGCAAGTTCACGAGCGCAGCCAGGGTTATTGTTTCAACGGAATCAAAATGGCAGGTACGTACCTGCATTGCTACCCAAAGCACTGTTACATCGGACGTGATATCTGCACGAGTCTGAATGAAGAGGAGTTTTTTCTTTTCTTTAGTTGGTTTTGCAAGTCACATTGTCATGATCCTTCCCCATCAAAGTAAAGCTCGCATGCAAACTCTCGGTTTCTACTCGCTCTACAAGGATCAATATCTCCACCTGGGGGGCGTAAATCCTCGCATAGTTCCCGTTGTCTTTTGCTGTCACATGTCTGGCTGTACTCCGCAATTGAGGGTTGCAGATGCGCGGACGAGAACAATTCTCAATCTCACCCGTACATTTCCGATGAAAAGGTCCACTGTAAAGCGCACAACAAGTAGTTCCCGCGAGTCCAGAACTTCTCGGTTATTTCTGTACATGTGGATATGGCATGGAGTTGAAATGCCATGTTCCATGTCCGCAGCTGACAGCGTCTTGACCCACAACGGTGAATGCTCGGCTCGAGCCTCTCGAGTATCTGAGCCACAGCCATTTTTCACCGCCACGCAAGCGGTGGTTTGGGGGGCAACGTTACACCGGTATCAACTTACTCGCAACGAGTCTAGTTTATCTTTCCTTCGTTTAGACTGCGATGGATGCTAGTGGGCTACTCCTTCCGGCATGGTAAGACAACGATAGTCTATCCTCGGAGGCTCGGCTCGGTTTCTTCAGTCCCAAGCGAAGTAAAACCCATAGCCCTACAAACCACCGATGTCAGCTAACCTCCGATGCTCTGCCTCCGGCTTACGCCTGCTCTACGCTTAGACAACGTGTTCGGCGTATCGAAAAACAACGGCAACTACGCAAGTTCACGGCCTATCCCAATCCTCCCGAGAATAATCGCGCGGTGAATCGCATGTGCGTGTACTCACACACCTTCTAGACTCTGCATTAGCGCCGCTTCGAGAAGAAGCATCACCCTCGCATAACGCAGACTCGCATACAGTACAACCACCAACACGACCTCCGCGCCGCTAGTTCACCGGCCGGGAATATGGAAGCTTGTAACCTAAGCCTCATCGCGAACCACCGTTGCCATCGCTGTCTCACGTCGACTCCGAAGTGGCTGGACTGTGGATACAGTAAAGTCTTTGTTTCGGGGTCTTGTGCGATGGACACGCTATCGAACGATAGCTGGTGTAGGAACTCTGCACGTGCCGACTCCGAACGAATGATAGGTAAGACGATGGGAATTGACACTACTGGATATTGGATATGGAGGCGGCTGGTATCGGGGGTCGGAGGAAGGTGTTGAGGCTCTGCGGGTACGTGCATGGCCTCCGATGTGGGTCCTGTCGGTGTCGAGGATTGAGCATTCAAGTGTGTTCGCTTGGGTGGTGTGTAGGGTTTGGGTGTAGTGCTGACGGCCAGCTGTGAACTGTTGAGGTATTGTATTTTTTTTGACAGTGAGCATGTGCGTTTTCGTTACACGCAGGGGTAAGACAGCGATAGCGAAGGTGGCATGTGTTGTGATGGATTGTGTATCTGTGCCTGAGGCTAGGTGTGGATGGTGTGGAAGTGGGGTATAGGTATTACTACTTCTGCGTTCTATTCGCGCGCCTTGCTCATTCGTAGCATTGCTATGTGTACATGCCATATGGTTCGCATATTAACATAGTAGTCGCTCTCTGCTGGCATACCTTCCTCAAGTGTAGCCGTATATCGGCCGAAAGAGAAAAAACTTCAACCTACCTTTACCACGCCCAACTTGAACACCTCACACCTCATGCTACAAGCCTCCTGCCCCCGTAGTGCTTCAATCCAGCCTACACAACAGTCGATCAGTATACCTTAATTTTCCCGAAGCCAATATATCAGCCCGGCTAGCTCAATCGGTAGAGCGTGAGACTCTTAGCTTTCACGTCCTAACTAGACTCGATTGGTTCATCTCAAGGTTGTGGGTTCGACCCCCACGTCGGGCTTGAGGTCTTTGCACATGTGTCTTGCATGTGTAAAGAACTTTTTTGGCGGTTGAGTGTGATGGTGTTGTGATTTTGATGTTTTTTTGGGCTTGGGTGAATGCCAAGAACGCGAAGCGAGAGAAAGATGTCAAGAAGTAGCGGGGAAATGATAAGAATAGTAGAGCATGTATGGCTGCTGAATGAAGGGAGTAGGAGAAGGAAGCGGATGGATATGATGGTTGCTGGGTCTGGTTCATAATGTGGCGTGCATGGCACTGTCTACTTCGTGCACTGACTACGAGCACCGACAAGTATAGAAAGACCATTTAATAATGCGCGCTTCCATAACTTTGCTCCCACAGTGTAGTATCTAGAGAATATCAACAGAACGAATCTCGCGTCACTAGATCGGGCGATGAGGTGGTGATGCTTGTTAGAAGCGACAACATCCATCAGATGGCGCTATGTTATGTCCCCTTGTATTGGGATTCGTCAAAGGTTTTATACTGTGTTCGTACGTGATTCAAGTTCTCTGCGCGTATTCTCTTCTTACTTGCAACTCAAAAACCTTCCTTCCGTCGGAATGCATGTAGCAAACACAATCCCCTTGGAACTTTTCGCGAGACCATGTGTGAGCCGCCTACTTCGTCTTCTGATCGCACAACACGAAATGGGTGATATCTTGTAGCAATCCAAGTACTGCGCGAAGGAACATCCAGCGAACAAGCTCAGTTCAAGTTGAGGGTTTTTAGTGAGCACTCACGACAGAACAGTGTTGTGTAGAAGAATGGACATTCTTCTACTCTATCTACTATCTACACCAAAACCACAACTCCCTCCCTCCCTCCCTCCGACCCATCTACCACCCACATTCATATCAAAACCCCATCCCGCCCACCCCAAACTCCATCAAACCCATATCACAAGTCCCTCACTCCCAGCAAGGGACCAACAATCTGCCGCGAGAAGACACCTTCTCGCAGCTTGAGTGACTGCCGTAGCAGTAGCTCCGCCCGATGAAACGCCGACGCTCCCAAGTGTGTGGAATTGTCAGCCAAGACCCGTAGGCCTTGTCTCAGTCAAACCACGCAAACCGGCGTAGCACTGCCGTAGCAGCTTTTGCGTACGCCCCGAGTGTGCAATGGTATGAGCTGAAAGATTCAAAGAGCTTCTCCGTGGAGCGAAGCGACACCCATACCCCTTCAAGTACATGTCATCACGACTGGCTACCGTTCCCAAGTGTGTGGGACAGATCAGCCAAGATGCGTGAGTCTATGTCTTGTCAATCATCCAACCCTTGGTATCGTCGTCGCTTATCACTCCGAGTGTGCGAAGTAATGAGCATCCTCGCTTATTACTCCGAGTGTGCGAAATAATGAGCTGCAGTAACGGTAGAAGCTTCTCCTTGGAGCGAAGCGACATCCGGAAGAATGTGGTTGTAGGTGGCCAAAGAAAGTGTGTTCCTTGGACACCACACCGAAAAACCATGTGGTACAAAGCTTGTCCCTAAGGCCAAGCGACCGCCGAAACGGTATGACCTTGAACCACCTCACTCTCTCACGTCAGCGCGAGAGAGCGAGGAGTAAAACCGCAATGAAGTCGTCTATGCGAACAAGAGCGACGATTGCGGCTTTGAGTCCAAGGTAAGGAAAAAGAGAACAGGTGGGAGAGAGGGCGCGAGCGGGATTATATAGGCAGTGTGGGCGCGCGGCGGGGCGGTTGACCCGGCGCCGGGCTGAGTAATGGGTGGCGATGACGCGCGTTGGAAAGGTTTAGAAGGGCTTGGACGTTCTGTTTGCGGAAGGAGCGCGGATTTTGAGGCACTGGCGTGGTGGTGAAGGTGAGTGACCGGATAGCGCGGGGACGCGCCGACAACGACGCGCGCAGGGAAAGATCAAGTGAAGGGGATCACCAGGTTTTGTTCAATTTCAGGCAGGAGACGACAATAATAAAATACAGTACAAAGAAATGATATTTGGTAGGTGTAGCCGTCCGGCTGCCCTTTTGGGTGTTATGTACTTCGTCTAATCAGGCCTTATAGCCTCCAGCTTATCCTCCCATATTCGAGAAGTAAGCTCATCCCTTCGCATTTCGATCGGCCCCATACTGGAGAACATTACCGATACCCTACACTCCCTATCTAGTAGATCCTGAATCTTCGGAAACATCTCCTTCAGATCTGTTAACACAAATCGCCTATAGTTATCGTGATACGTAGGGAGTGACGAAAAGGCTGCGTCAAAATCGAATATGACACGCGTCAGCTTAGGCAGATCTTTGAGATTTTCCAGATCGCCGGTCTTGATGTTATGTGCCTTCTCTTCTCCCCTGTATATAGAGAGGATACTCTCCGTTGTCGTAATCCTGATGATTCTGATCTTGCGCACCCACTCTCGCGGTGGTACGCCGTAGCCGAACCGCGGATCGTTGAGAAAGTCAGGGACGAGACGACATTCGACGAAGGAGAACGTTGTATTGCGGTACCAAGCCTCGATAAGCTCGGAGTAGAAGGGCTTGCCGGAGTATTCACGATCCCAGAGGTGCTCGCAGGCAATGGTGGTGCGATTCGTGAACCCTGCGGGAAGAATGGGCTTGACACCGATTTCGGAACAAAAGAGGAAACTTGCCAGCACCTCCTTATCAATCCTCACGATTGACTCCCCGATGATGTATTGGTATATCATGTCGCGAAGCTCGCGGGGTAGTTTGTCGCCGACCATAGTGCAGATGGGGAGACACTGCGCCGCTGCATAGCGCCTCGTACGGTCGTCGATTTCCCTAGCAATATTGCGGGCTTCTTCCTGGAGTCTGAACATTTCTTGGTATCGACCGGTTTCGTGAGAAGGCTCTTTGACTGGACAACTGTTGCGTAGACAGAAGATATGATTCTCGGCGTTCAGTTCACCGACGCGCGCGTCTACAATCCGCTTGAGGACTTTCAGCTTCTTTAACTCGCTATTGGAGGTCAGTCGTTGCTCTTTCCTGACCAGGTGGTGCGTACATTTGAAGATACTCCCGGTCTTCTTCGGCAGTGACGGATACAATAGTTTCGCGAGCGACACTTGGTTTTTCATGCTTTGATGTAGCCGCCTGCTCGAATTTTCTGTCAGGCTTCGTCAGTTGCCGCTAGTAAAATTCGTATGATGAGACTTACACCTTCCCAGCAGGGAGTCGCGCATCGCTAAGAACTTGAGTTGGCTCCGCTTTTGGAAGGATGCTGTTGGGACTCGTTGACATAGTGCTATACTGTGAAGTTGAGTGCGAAATTGATGAATTGATAGCAAGTGCGGGTGGTGACGAAATAAAGCACTTGTACTACTTTGGAGTGTAAGCTATAACATCTAGGTAGGTACAATCCAGGCAACAAGCAAGTAATGAAAAGCCATAGCCGTAAGCGACACCCTGCGCTACTCAAGTGCGAATCGGCGCGTCGCCTCCTCGACCTTATCAGTCCAATCTTGTACAGTAATCTCTTCGCGCACTACCACAAACTTTATGTTGCACAAGCCTAACCTGGAACGGATTATGGGCCTGAACCCCAAGTGTGGCTGTCTCCAATTCTGCAATGTGGGAAACATGCATGCTGCATTCCCCATGTAATCTTCCACCGAATCACCCGCTTCTATACGCTCCTGGAGATTCTCTAGGACGATCGTGAAGGTAGCGGGCCAATTGAGACTGTATTTGAGCAACTGCACTTTTCGCGCCATTTCCGCCTGTTCAGCAGTGTCTCCAGTAATCCGTACGTTCATCTCGAAATTTTTGATGTGATCGCGCGGTCTCAGGTTGGTGCCCCAACAAAACCTTTCGACAGACTTGTCGATGAGGGCGGGATTCTTGACAAGGAAGGTACTGGATTCGTACCACGCCTTAACTAGCTCGAGCCTTGTTGGGTCGTCGATAGTAAAGTAGTTGGGCTTTAGTAGGCAGTCGTAAGGCCAACGCGTTCTCTTGTTCGGTTCCGTCGTGGAAGGAACGATGGTGCGGTTCTTGTGGTGCTCCTTACAAGTGTCCAACTGGACGCGTTGATCCTGCCAGATGAACCCATATACCATCTTACGAAGTTCTATGGGCAGGCGGCCTTCTATATCCCGAAGCAATTCACGGCAAGGTCTTGCCTCATGGTTCGAGATGAGACGGGTGACCTCGGGTTGCGTTCGGTCAATTTCATCCTGGGCCATTCCTCGAGCTGTGAAAATTGCATGGTCACTTTCGCTTGTTGAAAGCGAGTCCATGCTTTCGCTATCCAAGAGATCATTAAGAGCGCTGACAACCGGATAACAGACACGTAGTCGATCCGATGCGCTACCTGATATTAATGACTGCCTCTGAGATAACGCAAGGGTGCCACATACCGGTGAAGGTTCTCTTCGTATTCTTCTTGGGCCTCGTCGGTGTACACGGGAATTCTGCCCAAGATTGATGAACCTATTTGGGGTCTTTTTCCCAGTTAGCTGCTAAGGTCTGGAGGTCTATCACTGTTACTCACTGTTGTGCCATCTTATGCCACGCAGTATAGTTAATCCTAAAACTATGTGGCTATTTCTAGAACTTAAATTGTGAGCAGATGAAATGCTCGATGAACAAAAATGTTGGGGGGGAGTGCGAGTTTAAGTAACAACGGGGCGCATCCAAACACTTGCGTATTGGCGTCAGATATGACTGTGGTGTACCTTGGTAGTTGAGATGAGATTTCATTGAGAACCATGGTTGCGATACACTGAAGCCAACCTTGGAAGGCTTACATTCGACACGTGACGGCGTCCGATAGCCTATAGCCGCCCTCTGCATTGAGACGGGAATTCTGCGGTTGGACGCGAATTTACCTATGGGCGAGTCGTGCAACACGAGAGTTCCAACCATCGCAGCTAATCTAGTCAACATACGGGTCCGCGTACTGGTCCAAGTAGTCCGAATCATAATTACCATCCTCATCGAACATGCGATCATAGTCCGAATCATCCTCATCTGTGAAGTACTCACGCGACATGAGCGTTTTGCGTTCCTCAATAGCCGCGTGAATCTTCTCTGCCCACCCTTCCACAGTAGTCTCCTCCAGTTCCACCAGGAACGTCAGGTCGCACTCCATACGCACTATAACCTTGTATCCGGCAATTGTTAGGCGCCGCAGTACTGGGAATAGCCATCCCGCGAATCCCGCATATTCTTTCATTGTAGGAACATACGGGTCCATCAAGTCAGATCCCTCCGGGATCAGATCCCACAAACCGATGGCAATGGTAGCACTCTTTTCGAGTACGAAGAGAGACTCCAGTTGTTGCCTGTAGCTGGTTTGATTGATCGTAAGGTCGTGTTCAGGCATCGCTATTTCTACTTTTCGTACGAGGTCGAGTGGGTCCAAGCCAGCACTCCATTGAGACCGGGAGTGAAAGGTTTTGATGTTGTTGGCTTCTCCGATATAGAAGGTAGAGTTTTCGTACCACGCCTGGATCAGCTCTTGTCGTATGACAGGGTAGTCTTCGAAATAGCCAGTTGGTTTCAGTAGATAGCTGTAAGGGATAGACCTTTCCTTCAGCCAGTCTAGGGGACGATCGACGGGGCCGGAGTTTCCGCCTTCTTCTCTTACCAAGACACGTGAGTCTTGGAACATATATCCATAGACTATATCGCGGACTTCCCTGGGTATAGGGGCTTTCTGACGTTGCATCTCCTGGCACAGCCGATGATAGCGAGGAGCTTCGCGAACCATGATGCAACGATCAATTTCTTCCAAGGTCCGTTTGATGGCGCTTATAGCGCTACGTTTCGCTGCGTGAAACGCATCCATCTCTGACTTTGGTGTATAGTCTATTGCGCTGCCGTACATGCGATGGGAAGCCAAGATTCCTTTGTAGGTTTTCAGTCGTGATGCCGCTCTACGGGAAGTTAACAATGGTATTGTTCGTGGTGAAGACTTGCTACGTACTGTCGAAGGTAGACGCAAAACTCTGTCTCATAGTCATCGTCCATGAGATCTGGACGTCCTATAAGGTATGCGAGACCGGTGGGGTGTCTTCTGCTCGTTAGCTATCGAGACCTACCAAACCGTTGTAGTAACTCACTGGTGTGCCATATTGTCTGCGGCAATACAGGCAGTATGATATCTGTATTATCGTTAGGTCTGGAACCTGTTCGCAGCGTTGAACGCCAAGGGTCGATGCGAGAGTGCAGTTCTCGAAAGTGAGAAGAATCAGAGTTTAAATATTAGAACTCGGCATCCGAGATCGCCGAGATAGCCACAACAAGGATTTTGGAACGCCGTTTTCTTACTCGTCATTCGTACTCTTATCATGTATTTGTATACTTTGGTTGTTAAGATGAGATTTCATTGAGAACCATGGTTGCAATACACCAGAGTCGACGCTTACATTCGATACGTGCTGGCGTTCGATGGCCCATAGCACCAGCATGTGACGCATTTAATCAACAATTTTCCAGTTAGTGCCGTTTCTTTTTGAGCGAGTCGTGCAATACAAGAACTACGTTGCTCGCGGCTGTTCCAAATCTTATCCTTCTGATTCGTCCATATCATCCTCTTGTGACCCGTCTGACTCATCCTCGCGTGATTCATCCGAATCATCATCTTGCAGATCACCTGAAAAGTAGTGCTGTGAGCTATCCGAGATATACTTCTGTGACGCATCTTCCATCTTGTCCTGCATGTCGTCCCAGTCCGGATAATGTCCACTGTACTCTTCTTTCCAGAACTTTATGCGAGCCTCTTCAACAGCTGCTTCAAACTTCTTCGTCCACCCTTCCACAGTAGTTTCTTCAGGCTCAACTAGAAATTCCAGGCCCCTTTCAGAACGCACTGTCACCTTGTATCCCTTCCTTCTCAGTTCAACCAAGTCTGGGAAGAGGTAGGCTGCACTCTGCGCATACGCTCTCAATGGCAAAACTTTTGCGTCTCTGAAGTTTGGGTAGTAAATGAGGTCGTTTACGCAGATCGTGATTTTTGTATGCGCTTTGTCGAGGAGGAGCAGTGACTTGAATCGCTCCAGGTAGCCGGTGTGGTCGACAGTATCGGATTCAAGAAATATCACCAAGGTGACGTGGTGTAGTAAGCTGAGTGGCTGTAGTCCAGTACTCCACGGAAACTGAAGGAGAAAAGAATTCATGATGGAGGGATCCATAATCCCAAATTTTGTAGTTTCAAACCACCCTCTAGCCAAATTTTCCCTGATGACAGCGTCATCAACGAAGTAATCGGGCTCTAGAAGATAGCGGTAAGGGATGCGCCTTGTATTTCCCGATTCGAGGCAGGCATCAACGTAGCACTCGAACTTTTCGTCCTCCTCCGCCAATAGACGAGCAGCTGAGTCCTGGAAAATGAAGCCATATATCATATCGCGGAGCTCCTGCGGAAGGGGTTTCACTTTCTGCAATATCTGATTGCACGGGGCAGCTTCATGCTTTACGATCTGCTCGTCAACATCGGCTCTGAGTCGACGGATCGCGTTCATAATGCTGCAAGCAGCCGCGTGGTAGGCGGCCAATTCCTCCTTTTTCGCATAGTTTAGTACTGTCCGATTGTGCTTGTGGGTAAATCGATGGAGAGATCTCAACTGTTTCAGTAAGATCTGGAGCCGTCTTGATGCGCTACTCGATGTTAATATTGCCAGATCACAACGAAACGCTACCACTTACTCGGCGATACTGAGATAATAACCGCGCGTAGCAGGACCGACGTCGTCATAATCGGGAATCTCCGGCGTTCCTGATCGACGCCTTGTCGTTCGTTAGCTGTTGGGATCTATTGGACTGGGATGGTTGCTTACTGTAATGCCATCTTGCGCAACGTAGTATAGCTAATACGTCCTGCGATTTCCAGTACAGGAGATGTCTGCAAATTTAAGTTTGATGAACAGATATATCGGGCGAGACTGCGAGCTTAAGTAGTCAGAATGAGGCAGGCAAGCTCGTTCGCATAGTCGAGTTGGGGTTCCGGTATTACCATTCACGGCGTCACCTTGTACCCTTGATCTGACTTCATCACCTCCACCCCATGGTACTACGACGGCTCGCCACTTACAACTTCCGCGGCTTATGCGACTCAGATCTTGGAAGAAGCTCTCGGGCGAGGACTGTCGCAACTCCAAAGGCCACGACAAGACCTGCCGGACCCGGAATTTGATCATCGATGCTTGGCAATGCGAAAAGTAGTACTATGTAACTCAAATACTTTGGCGCAGATACATTCAAACCTGATTTCAATGTATTGAAAGCTGCAAAACTTACAAAGCAAGCTGCGTACCTAAATGGTCACCGCTAGTCCATCAATACTCCATCGCATCCTCAAACAAACCCCGCAACTGCTCCCTCTCCGCATCAATATTTTGCATCTCCAAACTAGGCGCCAACATCAACACTCTCGCTTGCGGAATGGTACCCTCAACCAGCTGATCCAAATGCTCCTTCCCGAACCCAAGCGCCTTCAACCCACGTGGCTGATCACCAAGCTTAACCAAGAACTCCGCGAGCGCCTCGCTGAGTACTTCTCCCGCGCTCTCTGCTTTGACGTTCGAGATGTCGACACCGAACGCTTCAGCCGCCGCCAAATGTCTCTCCGGATTCGATGCGCCGGTGAACTTGAAGACTGCAGGCGCGGTTACTGCAACACTGACACCGTGGGGGATGATAGTGTGATCGACGTCGTAGCCTGAGTGTTTGTATCCAGGGTTTTGGCCTGAGATGGGATACGACATGCCGTGGCAGAGATGCACACCTGCGTTACCGAAGCCTACACCAGCGAGGGTTGCGGCAAGCAGCATCTGCGACTGAGCCTCGTGGTCATCGGGATCCTTTACCGCGCGGGGTAGGTACTTGACTGTGTCTTTCAGGGCCTTGAGAGAGAAGATGTCGGAGATTGGGTTTGCGCCCTGGTAGGCTGGACGGTTGAGGGGGTTGGTCGGTCGCGGTGTGCGCTCGTAGTATGGGATTGCGGTCCACGATTCGAGAGAATGGCACAGTACGTCGAGACCTGAAGATGCGTGCACAGCAGAGGGCATAGTACGTGTGTTGAGCGGGTCGACTATACCCAAAGTGGGCTTCAGGTTGCGATGCGCGATACCAGTCTTCGCTCTCTTGGAGACCAGGTCGAAGATAGCAGTACCAGTCGTCTCAGAACCAGTTCCCGCAGTCGTTGGTACAGCGATGAGCGGGAAGAGCTTTGACGGAATGGGCATTCCTTTGCCCAAAGGCGCGTTGACGAAGTCCAGGAACTCTGCGTCGGGGAAGGTTGTGTACAAGTTCATCAGCTTGGCTGTGTCAATGACACTACCACCGCCAACAGCTAGGTACGCATCTGGTTTCCATGGCTTCGCGAAGTTGATGGCTTCCATTATGCTGTGGTCCTTTGGCTCTACTCTGACCTTGTCAAAGATCTCGTATGTTACACCTTCTCGCTCCAGACCTTCAATGACCTGCTTCATCGCTTCTAGTTTCCTCACGTTGGGGTCTGTGACGACCATGACGCGCTTACTGCCCATGTTCTTGAAGTCCATGCCAACTTCCTTTGTACATCCAGGCCCAAATCTTATGCTTGATGCCGCCATCTCGAATGCATATTCTTTCTGCTGCGAATGATCGAGGGGTGTTGCGAGATGCCGACGAGCTTGCTGGACGGTAGACGGCGATTGGTGGTAGTTGGGGTTCGAATGGCAGGGGCATGATGGAGGATGTGTGTATTGTACGGTTCGGAGGAGATTGAGGGCGCGAGCTGCGCGCGATGGCGCAATGCGGATTGCTGTTGATATCACCATCGTGAGCAACGGTCGTTGTTGTCGCGATGATCGGTCGTGTGGAGAAATGCGGGGAGGCGCGTGCCGAGTTCTATAGGTAGCACGTTGGTGGTGTTAGCAACACAGATATGGTTCCTGGTATTGTATGATGCTTTGAAGGGCCAATTCCTATATGTACAGCCTAATTTGTCAAAGGGCAGTGTGTGGGGATGAAGCCGTTCTCCAATGCCATGCTTCCCACATCCCAGCTCGACCTCGGATGACAGCTGAATTTAGCCGCATTCGGTATGCCGAGATGTGGGGTAAGCGGTTGCCGCCTCCAATTCACATCGGAGATACGTCCTATTCCCCAGTTTTTGCTTTAAAGAGCCTCCAACGCGTCTGCGGCGCTGATGCCGAGCGTTTGTGACGCAAACGAGCGGATATTCAAGGGTCGCATTGTTGGCCGGTCGACGTTGAACCTACCTAGGTAGTTTCGACGTGCTGGCGTCCCTACCTTCAATCCAACCACCGCGACCAACAACTACCACCAACATCGTGACATTATGCCGCCACGACCATCGTATGATAAGTGACGAACATCGTCGCATTGGCACGCCAGAGGACGAACCCTTACACACCTGTCAGCCTGGCGTGCCGTACGAAGCAGCAAATGAACATCGTGACACGCTCTTGTGTTAGCGCGCGCGTTCGAATCGTCGACTTTATACTGGCCTGAATGTATTTTCATGTTTCAGATTTGGAAGATCAGTTGTCCATTGGCTCGCTGGGCTTTGCAACTCGCCTTCCTCATGTGTTGGTACCAATCGATTGCATATGTCTTCAAGCAACATGAACCAACGATGCAGGCGGTCGGTGTTGCTATGCCGGCTTTTCAGTTGGTCTGCGGCAGGATCCGCATATTGTGGATCAGCTGCCAACAAGAGCCTCCTTCGAGTGCGTCCCTGAAGGAGGCGTGGAGGCTGCGTGTTGTTAACAACATACTACGTACGGCTTTGGATGCATTTCAGGCCTCTGGTGTGTCCGAATTGGCCTGATTCCTCGGGCCGCTCGGCACGTCACACTACCCTTCACAGTGCATACGCGCTCGACTAGTCGCCAGATGGCGTCTCGCGCCCCACCAATCCGAACGCACACATACGATTGAAGCATAAACTTGGTTCCCGTGCAGTGTTATCTGCAACCGAGATGTCTGCCGTGGGCGCAATTGTAGAGCCCTCAGAACGTGGGCATGCGATCGCACCTCTCTAAGCAGCATCTGGGAATACGGTACTTCTATGGTGTCAGGCGATTTCGCATGAAATCTCGCAGAGGCAGCTCTTTTAGGGCCAAATTCACCTAGGTAGTCGAATGCGGTATCACGCACAAAGATCCAGGATGTCACGGTCTTGCTGACCCTCTTCCACCGATAAGGCGGGTCTTAGCGCCTGGGCAGCGCGTGTCTTTGCACCCGTATGGACTGGGTTCGCGACTAGAGTTGTTCAAGACACATGCGCCGTGTATCACGGGTTGTTCATTACCCGATGCGCAGCTTCGGGAGCTGTAAGTCTTCAGGATTTCATCAGCCTTACTCAACATTGTGCAGATGGAGACCGAAGAGCGCCTGAGATACCTTCCATCCGCAGTACAGTCGCCGCAACCCCATGTTGGCAACCTCGACCATTCACGATTTGCAAGAACGAGCCCAACTATCACAGGGGTCAAGGCGGCACACGGCGACTTTTTATTGGATCAGAAACGCCCTCGATAGAACATGCCCCCGCTAGGTGTGGCCCATTCCTAGGTCCCTCGTGGCTATTGGTACGTTGCCGCGCTTGAAACTTCGTTCCCCAGCTTCTGCCCCCTCGGAACGGGTGTGAAGCCTGTGCGCTACAACAAGGGAACCGTATGCCATTCCCACAATTCTCGTTTATGTCGTTCGCCAATCATGATGGCGTTTTGCGCCGATTGAAACGACGCGGGTGAAAGCCTCTTGGGGCTCACTTCAATGTGACCGTGCCGCATTAGACGAGACGACAAGGTAGATATGGGCGCAGTCCCCAGCGGGGCATTACCGACCATAGGGACAACTCATGCCCACGGTCTGATCACGGGAGACTATTATGATCCTGCCTGTCCCCCTGCTTTTGCGCTTGTAGAGCCTTTCGTCTTCCTTTGTTGTCGTTCATCCTTTCGTTGCTCCCACGGCCTCATCTCTTACAGGCGCCAAATCCAGTCCTCGCGACACGTGCGCTGCCCCTCACGACGCCTCTTCACCAGCCATGAGCTTGCAGCTGCGCGTTGGCAGCTCGCAAGAACGACGACCTGCATACCGAGGCAAGACACGGCAACTGCTTCGTCTGAGCGACGTTCCAGATTCGCCTTCATCCTCTGCTGCGTTTTGCGAAGCTATCGACTCTGATGGACGTGCGTGTTGGGCCCCGCTCCCGTCGACCGCGGGCGACCCATGGTGCTACAAACATCATGATGAATGGGAATCGATGACAATGCGATGGGCCAAGATCCACAAAGAAGCGGAAAAGTTGATGGTCACCGGCCTGGATGCCGCGAAACAAAAGATCATGAAGTTGCGCCAGTCGGTCGATCTCAGGCGACTACTCCAGGATCGATTTTATCCCCGCGGCGGAGACATTCAAGACTACATAAGATGGATTCACAAGATGGAGAGCGATGTCAGGGCCCTCGCTGATGCGCTACTAAGTAAGTAGCGTTTACTGTACATGTGCGAAATCAAGCTAATTGGTGGCTGCAGTGTCAAACCTGAATCGCGGCCCGACTCCAGAGACACCAGGAATCCATACCACTTCTCCACACCCAGACAAGTTCAAGAATGGCAGCGAGAAGATCATGATTCTCCGATCACCATTAGATCCTCGCATACCAATAAACTCGCTCGACGGTCTGCCCGATGATGGCACCATCCTGGTACTAAAGCACTTCTACCTGGATCTTTGCGCCGACAGCATTCGCCGACTATACGCCATCGTTCCCGATCTTGACGATACAACCAATCGTCCCGTTTCGCCAGGTACAAAGGAGCAGACTGGCCCAGATACGGGTACAGACATCATTCGCGCATGGTTTCGTATCATGGTTCTGAACGATAGTGAAGCTGCAATCTTAGAGCACGCTACAAGGTCCAAAAGTATCAACGATTTTCTCATGGGCTGCCAAGCCAGCCAACTAGAGATGTACTGTGACTTCTTCGAGAAAGCCTGGCGTCCTCATGCTGTCCAGTATCTTCGTGTTGCCATATGCGCTCAGACACTCGCTGGTGGTGACATCAAGACGATCCAACTCCTGGGAGGCACGATACCGAGTACCACAGAAGGCCTCAAAATGACGAAGCCGTGCTGGGACATACTGTAAGCTAACACCACTGTTCGAAAGGATTTTGCTGACATCCTCCAAGCTACCGGTGGTTCCCGACACTGCTCACTCCATGGACACTCGCCAGCATTTGCTCCAACTTTGAGGACTACACGACGATCTGCAAGCTCCTCATGATGAAGCTGTACAACGAACACTGGTACGATCCAAAAAGCATACTGGGCGAATGCTCAACCGGTGTGTACATGGGCTTCATACCAACAAGCAAGGGTGACTTCACATCGAATACTGGTCTGAAGCAAGAAGACGGACTTTGGGTGCAGCGACAATCGCGCAACTATCTGTGTGGGCAAATGGCGATCGGTCATCCTCTAACCCAAGCCTTCTTAGATGAGCTCCGAAAGCGAACAGCGTCACTATACCTCGTTGTTTACGAGGGTACACACGCTGACGCTACCGTTCACCCTACGGAGCCCGACCTGTTCATTAGCCGTCATCGATCAGCTATAACACTGGACGAGCTGGACAATGTCGACTTCACGACGACACTCACTCTGGAGGAGATCAAGAACCAGCTACGCATGAGGAAGACATCGATGTACGACCCCATCGTGGTGGACTCGTGGCAATTCATCATCATCGACCGCGAAGTTGGTCTGCCTTTCCGACTGATAGACATCGTGCAGGACGCGTTACTCATGCTGGTCGGAGACCCATCACCAAGACAAATGGCCAAGCGTGTCATTCGCGAGATCATCCCCTCATCTGTGCAAGAGATATATCTCGAGGAGATTCAGATCGAATGCACGGCCGAATTGCGCTACCCTCCACCAGGCGAGATACAGCATGAAGGAAACAGGTGGAGATGCTTTGATCCTGACCCCACCATTCTCGCTGCGAAGCAAACGAAGACGACTTTGCAAACCGTTAACAGGGACGACAACCGCTTCATCCGCCGCTTTATTGAGGACATGGAACGCTATGGCATCGTCAGCCTTGCGCCTGAGTTCGAGGCGCCACAAACCTATCCCGTGATTGTTCAAGGTTCGGACGGAGCACCTGACATTTACTTCCCTTACGAAGACAATGCGACAAGAGCGGAAGGGGAACGCAGTCCATCACTACCCCTGCCGCCAAAGACGTGTCTTACCGAGTTCGCGCAGGCTTACAAGCAGAAACATCCGAACGCGATAATGGCGAAGGGCTCGATACAGACACACTACTGCGCATGGCCCATGCCGGCGATCAAGAGTCTAGGCAAGAGTGGTCTGAACTTTGCGACGTGGGAAGGTCATGTCTACCGCTGGAATGCTATGCGTAAGTCTCCCACTCCCTCCCTCTTCCCCACATTGACTAACACATGTCGCAGCATTCGACCGCCCCTCTTCAGCAAACGCCTGGCAATACTACATCCAGCACTTCCTCAACTCCAAATACCCCTTCGTCATGTTCTACCTGACCACCTTCGTTATCTGCGCCACAGATCAAGACGACGCAGACCGCAAGACAACGACGATACTAGAAGAGATGGAAGATAGAGGGTGGAGAGTCACTCTGCCGAGGCTGCATGAGTGGACTAGCGATATCGATGAGTTGAAGTTGGAGAAGCTGTATAATGGCATTCACCCGGCGTAATGCGTATAAGTTTACACGGCGATGATTTTCTTTCTTAGGGGTGATATCAGAGGGTTGGGTGGTGCACAGCTTCAAAGAAGGTGGGTTTACGGCTGATGAAACGATATGCGGGCATTGGGAAATGGGCGTGTTTACTTGGGATTCGGTCTTTAGCGTTTAGCGATGTTGCATACCCCTTTCGATAGCATTGCATGTCTGGCGAGTACAGGCTTTAGTAAGGTGTAGTTATGTATTGAACGAACGTAGTTCCATCATATGAGGTGTCTCCAGAATGACGAATCCAGAGGGCGCTTTCTTTTCTCCTACTCCCTTTGGTCAGACACTGGCAGCAGACATGCAGTCAAAAACATTAACGGCATGACAAATAAGCACCCCTCGTAGAGCCACACCAGACTCCGAGTTCCAGTTTGACTACCTATCTACAGGGGTATCGCAACCTTGGAAATTTCCTGCCTGACCCGGATCTCAGCCTAGCGCAATGTTGTGCTCGTTGAAAGTCCTCGGAGCCTCTGCCGCTCCTCGGTGCTAATGTGGGGGTACTATGGCGTCGGGCGGAGACCCTGACAACCCTCTCACACTCGGGCGCAATGGCATGAAGCCACGATACGTCAACGACCTTGAATGTAACCATGTGGTCAGGGTCTGTCCCGCGATCACCCCTAGGATCGTGGCGCAGCAGCGCTCCAAACCCATTTCCTGGCGTAGATCCCGCGTGGATCTAGACTAAAGCTGCGAGCGTTGACGTCACAGGGCCAGCCAAAACCCTCATGGCACCCTGCTTCTCCGGCATGTGTGAGTGTCGATCTAGATCGTGCCCACGGAGCTTGAATCAAACTTAAACCCCTCCCTGGACCCTGATTTTTACCCTGGAAAATAATCCTAACTACGGCTACTACTGAACCAGATATCTTTATTATAAAAGTCCCTCGTGCAGCATACGACACGGGCTCATTTCCGGAAGAACGCGAACCCCGCCTTCACCAACCAAATCTCGCTAGCCGCGTCGTTCAAGCTTCACAGCAACAACAACGTTACCTCCTACACGTGCGAAGACACGTTCCACGACTGCACCTTGTTTCTTCAGTATCACGACACACCTGCAATATGTCTGCGCCCACTTCTGCCACGAGTGAGATGCCCACGCGCAGCCTCACCAACCGATCTGCCGACGACGATGCCATTCCAGGCGAGGATACCTCAGAGGTGAGTAGTCCTGAGACCGATGAGAGGGAAAGCTTCTAACACGTCCCCAGGTCACGAAGCTCTTTGCGGAGCGATTGCAAGCTTGGAAGCACGCCGTCGCCTACCTCGAGGATTATGTCACAGCTACCGAGAAGACGAACCATGCACATGGCAAGGAGTATGAGCGCGTCTTGAAGGTCGGTCGACTCAATGCGATAGCTATACAGCTACTGACGTTGAACAGACGGTCAAGGATCCCCTGAAGGAGGGCCACCACTTCGATCAGTCGCTCGGTGGCATTGCGGGCATGTTCGAGAACATCAGGTCCAACACCCAGGTACGACTTCTTCCACATCAGATACCGAGTCCGAGACTAACCATGGCAGGGCATCTCCAACCAACACTACGAAACCGCAAAGCAGCTCAAGGGCGCCGTCCTCCCCATCTTCGACCGCCTGCACACCGAGATCAAGAACAAGAGCAAGGAGCTCACCAAGGGAGCCGGCAAGGGCAGCAAGGCTGTCGACAAGGCTCGCCTGCACACCCAGAAGCAAATTGAGCTCCTCGGCCAGCACACAGCAGTCTTCGACTCGCACAGCGGCAACATGAAGGCGACCGACGACCCCTACATCCTCCAGCGCGGCGTCAACCACCGCCTCCACAAGCAAGTCCAGGAGGAGAACAACAACCGCCAGGACTTGATCAGCGTGCAGAACTCGTTCGCCCAGTTCGAAGCCCACATCATCCAGACGATCCAGTCTGGCATGGGCCAGTTCCTGCAAGTCGTCAACACGCAAGCCGAGCACACCAAAGCCGCATACGGCGACATGGTCGGCACATCGCAGCGCATCCCGCAAGACTTCGAATGGAACGGCTTCATCCAGCGCAACAACACCGTGCTGATCGACCCGGCCGCTCCCGCCCGCACCCTCTCCGACATCAGCTTCCCCAACCAGAACCACCGCGCGACGCAGCCCCTCATCTCGGGCTCGCTCGAAAAGAAGGGCAAGATCATGCGCTCCTACGACACAAACTACTACGTCGTGACGCCCTCCAAGTTCCTGCACGAGTTCAAGACAGACGACGACTTTGCTAAGGACCCAGTCCCCGAACTGTCGCTCTATATCCCTGATTGTATGATCGGTGCGGTGAATGGACAGAAGTTTAATGTCAAGGGCAAGGATGTGTCAAAGGGCAAGATCGGCGGTGCGTTCTCCATGACACACGAATTTGCGTTCAAGGCACACACGCCACAGGCTGCGGAGCAGTGGTGGCAGGTCATTAGCGGCGCAGCGGGTAAGGTCACAAACGACGTTCCCACCAGTCCTGTTTCTGGCGACACTAGCCCCCAGAACATGTATCCGGAAGAGAAGACTCAGCCTGCTCCTATCCAAACTACGGGTCTGGAGGGTGCTGGTACTAACTCGACTGATCATGCTGTGAGCGGTGGTACTAGTGCGCCTGCGAGTGCGGTGCCGGGTAGTGCGACGACGGCACCGGGGAGTGCGGTTCCGGGCGAGCCGGGGAAATACTAGTGGAAAAGTCTCATGATCGCTACGTGTACGTCTGATGAGGATGTGGATGTTGGGTCGAAGGTGACGCTGTGGTAGGTGTGCGTTGATGTTGATGGAGAGGCGGTGAGGTGAGGTGAGACGAGGATTGTTGGATGTGGATGTGGATATATATACATACCCCTTTTTGCTTTGAATAGTACTAATACATGATAATGCTTTTGTAATCCCCGTCTACTGTGTTGTGTTGTGGTGTGATGTAGAGTGGCGTAGAGTGATCAATCGAACATCTGCCTTACATTCAAATTCACCCGTTTATTCGCCATCCATCCCCTCCACGCTTCATACTCCCCTTCTTCCTCTCCATCGTCTTGTCCCCCCTCTGCTGACGACGCGGGCCAGTCTTGAAGATACTCAGGACACGTCCCCGCCACTATCGCCGGAACCCCATGCCACGCGAACCTTGACTCCCCGCTCATATACACTGCACTGCCTGATCTCAGTCTTAGCGTTATGATCTTCTCCTCGCTCACCCCTTCTGACGTCTGTACAGTAGTGCCTAAGACAAAAATCGCATCACACCCCAAACTCACACTAACAAGCCCCGTACTACTCGTTTCAGCAACATCGCGATGCACACTCAGTGTATCGCCTGGAGAATACAGGTTCACGATCGCGGCTTCTGCTTTCGTCTGGGGGAAGAGGGCTTCCAGTAACGTCTTGATACCGGGAGGGAAGGGTGGGGGAGGGGTGGAGGGGTAGCGTTTCAAGGTCCAGTCGTATTGGCCGCCTAGGGTTGTCCAGCGCAACTTTTTGGTCAGGAGTTGGGAGATGGTGAGTGGTTTGTGGATGGAGGGGGAGAGGGGGGTAGCGAGGGGACTGGGGGTGGAGGGAGGGAG